GGGTCGTGTCTCATATTATTTGTTATATTTTTATTATTCATTATTTTCACTTGACTCGCATAAATAATTTTGTTCGAAGAACATTTTATGCAGTTTTACTTCGCAGCACTTCACTTTCAATTTGAAATTTCTAGTTTATTTTATATTTCTAGCTATACAGTGATTCTTTAAAAGTTCCACTTGGTGCGAATATCAGTGACTCTGTTTTCATTGATTCGACTGTCGGTTTTGAAACTGTATTCACATTTTCCTGGATCGGTACCATAATCCAGGTGTGGCTGAAATCACCGGATGGAAACTTTGTTAATCAAAATCAATACATTGTTGATAAGGACACCAACATCATCACAATCAAGATAAATGACACGGCAATGGTATGTAGAATGATCAATGTGTTATCCTGATAACGTACCTTAACAACATGTTGTTTTATAGTAGGCCCTATCTGCCTTTAAATGTAATTTAAAATTAACATAATGTCGGATGTATTTTATTTTGTTTTTTTAATTTAGACTGGATACTGGGTATTTACAGTTGCTAATATTGATAATAGGTCGCCATCGCAGATAGTCACCGTCAGTGTAGCATCAAAACAGTCCTCTAAAGAGGATCCAATTGAGGTACTAGCACTAGTCAGTGATCCCACAATTAACTACTCAACAGAACCGGTAGTAGTCATCTATGCAATCGTCACCAAAGGCTACCTACCTGTAATCAATGCCCAGGTGTTTGCTGTCATTGAAGGTCCTGATGCAGTTGAAGAAATTCAGCTTCTTGACAACGGAGCAGAACCAGATATATCAGAGGATGACGGCGTATACTCCGGTTATTATTTAGCATTTTCTACAAATGGTCGTTATAGTGTTGCAATAAAAGCGAACAATTCAGCCCAGACGGCAATGGTTAACACGGCAAAGGCCACAGGATCCTTACCAATAAAACCAGGTCCGACTTTTTTCGTTACCGTATATCTTGTTCGTTATTTCAAACATCGTTATACAGGATTAAAACATATCAGGGAGAAAAAAACATACCTTATATATTTCTATCAGTTTTAGTGAATATTTAATTTGAAGAAAGCAAAAGGAATTAATAGATGGTAAAAAACACACGACCATTATTTTACAAACGCGCGCTAGAAGCCGTTTAACATTTTAATTTATAAAATAGGCCTAGTTAAATTTGTTGTTGTTTGTGGAACATTCAGAAATGGTAGTTTTAAGTCTGCACTGAAGATATATCTAGAAGGCGTTGGTTTTGTTAAAAAGATAAAATTTCCTATATTAAACTCATGACATATAATGATCTCAATCCATTGTTTTGTTTTGTTTTTTTCTTTATTTTATGTTTATATTAGCTATGCAAAGGTAAAAAATTTTTCTTTATTTCTAAATATGTTTGTAAGTGGCCTCATTATTACTGCATCTTTTACTATATTGATTAAAAAATGATTACAAATTAGAAAGATTGAGAAATAAAGAGGGAATGACAGCATAAAAAAATGAAAAAAATTACCACCGGATCATTACTAATTTGTACAGAAGCACAAAAGTGCAATTCGACTTAACGACTTGTCAAGATAATTTATGTTGTCAAGTCGAAATAATATACATATCATGTCAAGTCTAATGGCACTTAGGTGCTTCCGTAAATTTGACAAGGTCTGTCTTGTCTTATTTTGTAAATCGGTGGTTCTCGAAAAGTATTGTAGTTAGCAACATTAACATATGCCTCTTATAGAATGGCATTAAATTTAGTGCTCGTATCCTCCAATTCTATCTCTTTATTTGAATCATAGGTAAAACGAAGCTCCACTTCATTGGAATATTACAACCAAGACACTACTTATTTCCAAGCACTGTAGAAGAAAGACCTCAAAGATATCATGAACTTAATTTGTCTTAATTGCAAAAAGAAGCAATGTAATTGTAATGTTGTTAAGGCATAATTACTATTTGTTCCACTATGTGCTGAAATCTTTAACTGTATTATAATTACATTTTATTGTAGAATCAAGTAATGAGGACTTGCCTGTATTTGAGCCGATGGGAATGTTTGTCCGAATAACCTCCGGTGGCGTAATCCAGGTCAAAAAGTACGTCGACGACCCTAAAGATAACTTAGCCCCTTCTCGAATTGTGGATCTCAGTATAGTAAAGACTTCATACAGTGAGCAAAGTGTGGTTCTTCAGTGGACAGCAGTCGGCGATGACTTTAACAAAGGCACTGGTACGATTAATTGGAGGGTTTTCGTCATAAACTTCTACATACCATTCTGTTATGAGTAATTTTCATAAAAGGAAAAAATGTATTAAATAGCTATAATTTACTAGCCTAATAAATTTACAAAAACATAAACAAAACAACTTTAAAAACAAAAAGGTACATAAAATTACTGACTGAAAGGTTTAATATAGTTTAATTTCATTTTAGTTAAGAAAATGGAAGATTTGGGAACATACAATGACACAGGAAGAAAATAATTACACAAAGTGAAGATAATTTTTATGAATGACATGTTGCCCGAATTGAATAAATTGTTACAATTAATAAACTACTGTAATAATATATTAATAATCATCAAATTGATTGTTAAACTAAATTAAACGAAACTAAACGTCCAAAAAATATATGGATTAATAATTAACAGTACATTTTTAAATTTGTTTATGGTTTATTTTATTCTCTATGTTGCTATAGCCGATGTTGTGACAACGTGAGGCGCTATATACATCTAGAATGATTTTTTTTTCTCCTCAGCAACAAAATATGAATTGATGGCTGCAAGTAATTTTTCACAACTGCTCTACGATTTCGCTAATTCTAGATTGGTAACGAATGATGATCTAATCCGGGGAAATATGTCCATAATAAGCCCCGCCGGCATTAGAGAAACCGTCACCATAAGAGTTCCAACGCGTGGAGAGGACGCAACATTCTTCTTTGCTATTCGTGCTCACGACGAGTCAGATAATTACGGAGAAGCTTCTAATATTGTGTCTGCAAACATGGAGTATATTCCTCCAATTCCCGAAGATTCTGGACCTCATACGGCACTCTGGGCCACCCTAGGTACATTATTAGGAATTGCTGTACTCGCTGGAGTCATGTTTGTATTCATCCGACACATTGAACAAAAGAAAGAGAAACAAAATAAAATAGAACATTCTGGAAATGTTAATAGCGGAATGGACAAAGCAACGCATTATGCACCTTAGGAATATATGTTTATTTTCCGAAAAAAATGATAAGTTATTAAACATAAAATAGAATATTTCGTTTTGCTTAACTTACTTGCTATTTCAAATGTTTATTTTATAAATGCTAACTGGTGATATAAAATACCAGATATCCTCCATTGAAAGATGTAGGACTGATATCAAATTATAATTATTAAAAACAAAATATTTAACAAAAAAGGCAACTAAATTTGTAATTAAGTCTAAGATCTATCAGGGTATAACTCCTATAGTTATATTATGTTAGTTAACCTAATAAACAAAATAGTAGTCACCAAACTGAACATGTATATGTAATGGCACAAAACACGATATTACATTAAAAATTGTTGATACTGTATTCATTTATTTTCAGTAAAAAATACTGACAGTGTATCACTATTTTGTCAGCAAACATACATTCTTAATTATAGATTTTTAAAACAATCATTTTCCAAATTCTGTACCATTTGAGAAAGACCTAACAATAATATTCAGTATTTATATTGTACCTCTTTAGTCCAACTTTAATAACTAAATTATTTAAAAAAAATTAAAAACATCATTATTTACGTATCTTTATACTGTATATCTTTTGAGTCGTATATACTTTTAGAGTTGATTGATATTGTAACTGACGATTTGTATTTATTTATACTTGGTGTTACATTAAAATATTCATTTTTTTAATGCAATGGCATCTCTGCAAAAAACACGCCTACAAAATATTAGCAGTATATCACTATTTTGTCAGCAAACACACATTATTAATTGTATATTTTCATCAATAATTTTCCATATTCTGTACCATTTGAGAAAGACATAATAATAATAATATTAATAATAATAATAATAATAATAATAATAATAATAATAATAATCAATAATTATATTGCATCCGTCCAACTTCATCAACTTTTAAAAACCACCACATTTTAAAGCATTTTAGCATTTTCTAGAATTTAAAAAAAGAATGTCTCAAATGATTCAGAAAGTTATCTAACTTTTAGAAAGTTTTAATATTTTTTATTGTTTTTAATAGTGTGTGTTTCTATCCAACTCTGATAAAATTTAAACCACATTTTAAAGAGACAAGCAACAATTTAGCATTTTTAATTTTTATTTGTTTGTATCATTTGTCCAACCTTTCTCAACAAAATTTAATTGATTCAGCATGTTTGTAATTGTTTGTATTGAACGCTCCTCCTCCTATTATTATTATTATTATTATTATTATTATTATTATTGTAAGAACCTCAATGCGCTTAACAACAGCTTAATAAATAATTTTAAAAAAATAAACAAAAATGAGACAAATCAACACGTACCATAGACCAGGTTACAGTGGCTTCTAAAATGAGCAAAAATATTAAATAATGAACTTACACAAAAATTAAAATGTTAAATCCCAAAGCTGGACTCTAACCAAAGAATGTCATTTTATTGAATTTTTTGATAAATGATATTGTATTGTTTGTCATAACATTTTATCATTAAACAAATAACAGAGTCATATCCATGTAAGTAGGCCTACTCTGCAAGTGTAATAAAAGTAAATAATGCACTAAATATACAATTTGTCAATATACCCCTATTTGAATCTTTCATTATATTAACTGCTCTCTGATGAAGAGAGAGAGAGAGAGAGGCCTGGCTTAAAGCGCTATAGATGCTAGCTAGTAGTAGAAGCTTAGCTAGGCCTGTCTGTAGCACCGTATGGATAGGCTGTTCTAGCCGAAATTATTAGGTCCGCTTTTTGACCTAGCTTATAATGTCATGTCTTGTGCCCAGACGTACAAGGCTTGTTATCCATCAAGCCTTGAAATGTAGCGGAATATGATCGTGACATATAGAAACCCCAGTGAATAAAATTATGAGCACATTCTTGCCAGTGGTTTCAGAGGAGATAGGTGAACTTACACTAGGGCGATTAGTAGTAGTAGTAGTAGTAGTAGCAGCAGCAGCAGCAGTAGTAGTAGTAGTAGTAGTAGTAGTAGTAGTAGTAGCAGTAGCAGTAGCAGTAGTAGTAGTAATAATTCTTTGAAGAAGACTTGTTTTGTGCCACCAGCACCATAGGCAAGCATGGCATTCGAAACAGTGTCGTTATTATGGCTGTAGGTTGCGCCGCCCCTGTTAACCGCTCGGCCATTCAACTCTATTTTTTTCTTTGATAGCAAAATACCCTACGTAGTAAAGCGCCACCTTCAGGCTTAGTATACTTATTATTACCATAAATAAGCCATCTGACTGACTATTATTTTATTAATAATAATGAGTAATGGTAATAACAAATTATTAAACATTCATAGCAAAAACGAGGCCAAGTGGAGCACCTTATTCAAAAATCAATTACCAAGGAATGAAAAATTAAAATCGTGTACATTAAACCCATACACCGCAACGCTCGAGTTTCAAACATACGGGTAACTAGCTGTACTACTTTCTGTGTAAATTGAGGGCGCAATTGCAAATGATGGCGCTTAGGCGATATTTTATTGGCTGAATCTATGGCAGCCATCTTGGATGGTACACACACAGCTCTGTGTATTTCGAACATGGAATACATTGTAGTTAGCGCTCTAGTATTCTTATTATATCTCAATGATTTTACCTTATATCACATTGTCAGAGTAAGAAAAACGAGTTATGGGGTACTATCATACTAAATACTAACATTACCTGATAATTAAATAAATAGATAATTTTCTATTAGTTGTATATCTAGTTGCCTGCCTCATTCAAAAGCCTACTTGTATTTATTTTAAACTTATCACCATAAAAAAAACCTCACTGACCCACATGATTGTACCACGCATGTACTTAGGAAATCGATAAATATATTTACAATTATATGAATGCTTATCAATGTCCGCCTACATGCATTTTCTTAAGTGTTATTTACATAGCCCTGATTAGGAATATATCATTTACAAAGATATACTATTTGTATAGGATTACAATTTCCAAAACCGATTTTGTGTCACATTGATGTGTAGGCACCATGAAAGGAACCGTACATATTTTTGCTATTTTCTTGTCACTTTTTTGTTTCGGTTTATGTTCCTGGAGCCGAAACCAGATAACTTTCACGAATGGTGGATACAACAACGTACTTATCGCTATAAATAAAGACATACCAGAAAACCAGCAGCTTGTTGATACCATCAAAGTAAGTGTGATTATCTTAGTAATTTAAAGTGGATTAAATAGACATGTTGGGCTAAAGCTGCCATAAAATAAATGTAAATCTAGAACTTTAGGTTAGATGGCCAAGTAATATATCTTCAGGAATAATTAGTATGTTATATTGCTTCTCATCAAAAGGTGGTACGGTAAGTTTTAGCTAAGATTAGTTTTATTTAACTAGACCTTTTCATGCCTTGTTATCGAAATATGATTTTTAATTTAACGATATTGTTGACAATAAATTAAAAGTTTAAGAGTAACTCTCTAGGCTCCGATATTTGGTATTTATTCCTGGATAGACCACCTAAAGCTAATAATTATATTACATTAAAATAGTATCAGTAAGCACTTCGAAGAGTCCTATTTTTGTTTGTAAAAGCTATATTAGGAACTTTAAAGCAAACATTAAATATTTTGGACCTTTTTGTAAATATATATATATAAAACAAAATAAAGTTAGTCAAACGATGAACATGGTTGAAATTTTAAGATATAGGCAATCTATTCATATATCTAGTTACAGCGAATAACAAGAGCTCCTGCTCTGTTCTTCGGCAATTAACAGTTCTGAACACAATATATATATATATATATAAATCAAGATGGCCGTTAACACTGTTATATAATAATCATCAAAGGAAGGTAAATACTGTGTTAGAATAAAGGACATAATAATACATTGTGTAGCATAGTTCGAATGTAGTCCTGTAAATAAATGAATAAAGAGACTGTGTAATAAAATTCATCTGGCGGGACTCGAACCTGCGACCTCTCGCTGTCAAGGCGAGCGTCATAACCATTATACCACGGAGGCTTCATGGTTGAACAGATTCAAATACCACCAGATACACTCCATTACACAAAATATAACGTAACAGTAATGAAACTCAAATACGTAAGATGTTGACTAAAATTTATTTGGCGAATATTTCGGCTCCTCCTGTAGTCTATATATATAGTCTCTGTCTCTTATACACATGAACTCATACCAAAATGTAAACCAACGAGATTACTATGACTGGCCACCAATAAACTTATATAATACACAACTCTTACCACATTCAGGTCTTGGTTAAAAACGTTTTCCTTATCTCTTAGGTAGTTTTTAAAAATAATTTAAATATGATCAAAAGTTAAGGTTAGGAAATGTAAGAATTGGTCAATGGTCATATATTTATATAGCGCCTTCCACAGAAAAAAAGTCTCAAGGCGCTTTTGAAGCCACAAGAAACAAAGACAAAAGAAAGCGAAGGGGGGAGAGGGAGTGCGCACCCCCCCCCCCCATTTTGAGATAGCGTCGCCTTCACTACCGTGTACACGCAGGTACCTCGGCGTCAGTTTGCTGGGCTCCGGTAGCTTCACCGAGGATAAGCCTATGGTTCCCCTACCGTGCACTGCTAAAATGAGAATTGGGAAGACAATGAAGGTAATGATATTTAAAAAAATAAAAGAAAAGAAAAGTAAGAAGAAAGCGAATTATAGGGAAAATGAAAGATAGAAATACAAGCAAAAGGAATGCATACGAAAAGGTGTAGAAAGAGATAGCAAAGAAAACGTAAAGAAAAATATAATAAAGCAATTAAAAGATAAGAAAAAATAACTTAAGAAAAAAAATAACAACGGAAAAAGCGGGACATTGATAGGGAAAGGAAAAGAATAGAAATATAAATAAGGAAAAAGTCAAAAAAAAAGAAAAAGAATGAAAACGAAAGTGTCATAAAAGGGAAAGGAAAAGAAAGAAAACGAAAAGTTATAAAAAAAAAAGAGGAAAAAAGAATGAAAAGAGAAAAGCTAAAGAAGGGAAATTAAAAGTAAAAACGAAAAGGTAAAGAGAGAAAATAAAAAAAGAAAGAAAAAAAAAGGTCAAAAAAGGAAAGGAGAAAAAAATTAAAGGAAAGAAGAAATAAGAAGAAATTTACAGAAGAAAAAGGAAAAGAAAAGAAACAAAAGGAAAGCTAAAGAAAGATAAAAGAAAAGAAAAATGCTAAGAAAATTAAACGAAAGGAAAGTCAAGAATTCGAAAGATATGAAAGAAAAAGAAATAAGGCAAACAAAAGTAAATGGTGAAGAAAAAGAAAGACAAAAAATAAAAATTAACTACAAGAAAATGAAGAAAATAGGTACGGTAATAAGAACAAGATAACAAACATTTAACATATACCGGTAAGTAGATTTAAAAATATATAAATTTACTGTATTGTACTGTATATACCGTATTTGACTGATCAATAAGCACTACGCAAGAGGACGGAGAGCCGTCAAGAACGGCAAAGGACCTTTCCGCTTAGCCCCGCCCCTTGGATATTGTTGCTAAGGTCCCACAAGGCGACAGTGTTAAAACATAGCGAGCACGTGCGTTTGTGGGACAACACGTGTGTTTGTGAGACGCGCGCGTATTCCTAGCGCTGTTCTGATTAGTCAGTTGTTAAGTTTGATTGACACTCCGGAAAGGTCTATTCGGATTAAGCGCCCTGTTGTTCACTGTTGTATTCACGCTCTTATGAGCACAAAACCACCGTCCACCCGTCTTCCTGTCCTGTTGCGTAAAATACCTACTATCAAACTAAAACGGTCAGAAATAATTTCGCATGTCACAATCTATATCGATAAATTTGTAAGGATAACAATGTGGTACATCTAACCAAACATTAACAAACACACAGTTTATTCAAATTTTGACCTTAAGTGACATAATACTTTATTGTATTTGTTATCAGGAAATATTCACTAGTGCTTCTGAGAAATTACTCAATGCAACAAATAAAAGAGCATATTGGAGGAGTATTTCCATTCTTGTTCCAAAATCATGGCAACATAAACCGGAATACGAAGCAGTCACTTCAGAAAGTTTCGACAGGGCAAATGTTGTCATCGACTTCGAAAATCCCAGATGGGGAGACAACCCGTACACAAAACAACTTGGAGGATGTGGAGAGCCAGGAGAATATATTCATTTGACACCAAATTACATACTGGAGAAATCCATGAGTGAATATATTTGGGGTCCTATGGGTAAGTCCTAACGTTCTACTTATTACATAACAGCATATAGATCAATGTTTGTATAATACTGAAAATTGAAATCAATATGTAAAAATAACGAGGTAGGTGTTCTACACATCGGAAGCAGTCTGAATTTTGGTTCAGATGCGATGTCAATGCAGCCTAAAAAAGATACTATAAAATTAGTTACATATACATTGGCCTAATAAATTGAAGAATTATTGTAATAAAATGTATTTAAATGAGCGAAATAAATTGTATTGATGTGTGTCCCAATACGATATTTAAACAATGATCATTTTTATGAATCGTGATGTAGTGAATGGCTGAGATACTCGCCATACTCGCCTGCCAATCACAAGGTCACGCTTCATTATCCTACAAGACTCTCGCATTGCTTTTGGACCTGTAATCATTATTAGTTTATACTTGCCATTGGAATTGATATTGAAAAAAAAAAACCTCAAAAATTTGGTAGTCATATTCTGGTGTGTATGTGTGTGGGTGTGTGTGTGTGTGTGCGTGTGTGGGTGTGTGTTTGTGTGTGTGTGTATCAAAGATCTTATAAACACAAGATAGCGTTCTCCGCGATTTACGCGTACAAATTTTGTAATAAGGCATGAATGGCGCCCTCTTGCTAAATTGGAAACTTTTGACCCTTGACCGCTCTGACCGCGCCACTTTACCTTTAGGGTATCAATCCTGTGAACAGCAGAACAGGA